TATCCTTATTTGTGTGGTAGCAGGGAATAGATTTTCTAGTTAGTTTAACATTTTTTTTTGTTTCATTTCGTTTTACTTCTGAGAAGGCAAAAAAAACCTTCCCTCAAAGTGTTGTTGAGTGGGTGAATGTGTGTTTTAATTATCCCCCTAGGACTGTAACCTTTTCTGAAGACTATGAGTGTTCACTGTAGAAAACTGTGTCCCTTATTGGCATGTTTGTTGTAGAGAATTGTGCTTGTATTTCTGAGGTTATATACTATGTCAGGTAAAATTTTCTCAGTCACCCTGATATAATTAACATGTTGCTTATCACCACTGATCTTGTTATAGTTGATCAAAGCAGTATATAAACAATGTGCATTCTGTTCTGTTGCTAAGATAGGGAGAAAAATCCCTTTTAGACCTTTCTTCTTTACAAGGTTTAAAGTTTTTTTTTAATAATAAATTTATTTTTTATTGGTGTTCAATTTGCAAGGTTTAAAGATTTACAAAATATTTTTCAATAGAAGATTCATTTTCAAAACCAGTGCAAAAATCAAGATTCTTTGAAAGATCAAAGGATTTGAGTTGGAAGTGATCATGTTTCATTCACCCTATGGTGAGTGGGACTAGAACAGCACATAGACGTTGGGGGAAGTATGTGATGGGAACCAATGTTGCCAATGTGTTTATGGTTAACATAGTAGAGGCAAGGGTATGGGTTTTGTTCATAGTACAGGAGTCATTTGAATCCTGGTGAGGTAGGCTGATTGCATTGACAATCAGCCAATTAAATGGCTTCCCTGGACTCATGACCAATGCAATGTGACTTTGCAGCTCTTTCCATCCCTTGAATCTTGGCCAGTCTTGTGACTTGCTTTGGCCAGTAAAGTAAGGAAGAAGGGATGTTGCACCAGTTCTGAGCCCAGGTCTTAAGAAGCTTTTGTTTCTCCTTCTCGCCCTCCTTTTTCTCTCTCTCTCCACCTCCCTCCTTCCTTCTCTCTCTTAACCTTGCTTACATCACACACATAAGCCAAAATTAGCCTGCTGAAGGAAAACAGACCACATGGAGTAGAGCCCTGTTGTCCCAAACACCACTAGGCTAGACTGACATACAGCCAGCCCCAAACATGTTGAGAGAGCCGGCCAAGATTGGAAGAACTATCTCCCTGATGCCTGGCTTGTAGTCTTCTGAGCAATAACAAATGGTTACTGTTTTAAAGCCACTGAGTTTTTTAATGGTTTTATTTGTAGCAATTGCTAAAGGATGCACCTGGCTCAACTAGTTACTAGCTGTGTAATCTTCAGGAAGTTGCTTAACTTCTCTGAATCTCATTTTATTCATCTATGTGTCAATGTCTATTACACATTATCTCTTTTAATCCTCACCGTGGCCTTGTGATGTGGGTACTGTTACTCCCATTTCACAAACTGGTTCTTGTAAAGGTTAAATAATTAGCCCAAGTTCACACAATAAGTTGACAGCCATATAGTTTTCTCATAAAGGACCTCCAAGAAATCAAGTTTATAAGCAAACTTAATAAAGAATTCTAAAATGTGATCTGAAAGATGGAGGGGTTCATTTATATATAAGAATATTTCCCTTAGAATGTGAACTGGTGCAGCCACTCTGGAAAACTGGGTGGAAGTTCCTCAAAGAGTTAAAAATAGATCTGCCCTACGACCCAGCAATTGCACTGTTGGGGATTTACCCCAAAGATACAGATGCAGTGAAATGCCGGGACACCTGCACCCCGATGTTTTTAGCAGCAATGTCCACAATAGCCAAACTGTGGAAGGAGCCTCAGTGTTCATCGAAAGATGAATGGATAAAGAAGATGTGGTCTATGTATACAATGGAATATTACTCAGCCATTAGAAATGACAAATACCCACCATTTGCTCCGACGTGGATGGAACTGGAGGGTATTATGCTGAGTGAAATAAGTCAATCAGAGAAGGACAAACATTATATGGTCTCATTCATTTGGGGACTATAAAAAATAGTGAAAGGGAATAAAGGGGAAAGGAGAAAAGAATGAGTGGGAAATATCAGAAAGGGAGACAGAACATGAGAGACTCCTAACTCTGGGAGGCGAACTAGGGGTGATGGAAGGGGAGGTGGGCGGGGGGTGGGGGTGACTGGGTGCCAGGCACTGAGGGAGGCACTTGATGGGATGAGCACTGGGTGTTATTCTATATGTTGGCAAATTGAACACCAATAAAAATAAATTTATAAAAAAACATATTTCCCTTAAGTTGAGTAACAGAAATGTTCAGTTCAGAAAAGATAACCCACAGTCTGAATGCAGCTAGGATGTGAGTTTGCAACTCTGTTCTCAGGGCCTGGCGGAGTCCACAGCACATTAGTAGATATCAACAAATATTTTTTTGAAAAAATTAGCCCATGAAGGAATCCTGATGGTGCCTGGAAAATATCATTTATTCTAAGACCTGAATAAAAAATGTAAGGGTTCAATGCTTGAAGCCTCTGACAGATAGAAATGAAAGTACCTTCCTTTATCCCCACATGATCTCCTCAAACCAATGTACAAAAAAACTGTCCCCCACATGATTCAGGAAGCTGCACAGAATGCAGGGGCAGGGAGGGAGGGGGGGTTAAGTATTATTATCAAAAACCACCCCTCAGCTTCCAAATCACTTGAGTATCTTGTAGAAATTCCCCAACACATAAATCCACTTTCCTACCCCAACAGTTCCACCTAGAATTGCTATAGACAGAGAGGTCTCACCACTACATGTGTGTATCCTTTTGTATAGAGACCAGAGGGAGAAAATTGATCCGTGAATTTGGATTCCATAAATTAAACCACAATGGATCTGCAGAAGGTCTGGATCAGCATCCAGAGGACTCAAGATTCCTGAAGAGTGTGTAGAGGTTGGTATAAAGAGGTCTTGAAAAAAGTTTTCTTCAGAGTATCTGTAGGCAACTAGAGATTGGGTTTTAGTCCATGACAGAGAAGAAGTAAAAGAGGCTGTATAGGGCAGCCCGGGTGGCTCAGCGGTTTAGTGCCACCTTTGGCCCAGGGCATGGTCCTGGACACCCAGGATCGAGTCCCACGTTAGGCTCCTGGCATGGAGCCTGCTTCTCCCTCTGCCTGTGTTTGTCTCTGCCTCTCTCTCTCTTTCTGTATGTCTCTCATAAATAAATAAATACAATCTTTAAAAAAAAGATGCAGTATATAAAGGGCAGGCTCAATAGGTTCAAAACCAAATCTGAAATTTCTTGAGTAGACTCTTTAGTTGCCCTTCATTTGTGCTGCCAGAATGCTCCCTCCTCTACTTGCAGAACCACCATTGCTTCTCAGTATTCCTGACTGGACTAAGTTCCCTAAAAGCAGGGACCACTGCTTCTTTCCTGTTCCTTGCCCAGCCTCAAGAGGAAGGATTGCCAGAAGGCAGGTGCTGTCCACGAATTTCTTGGACATTTGCTCATATTTCACAGATTTGCGTGAAATTCAAGGGTAAACTTATTAACTTTTTACCGTGTTGACCTCATAGGGATATCAGGAAAAACCAGTGGAAGCACCTGTTCTGAAAGCTAGGAATGGTTTATACCAGCTAGCTTGATTTGGGGGCAGCTTGGTTCTGATGCTGTCTCCCAGAGGGACAGGTGTGCCCAAACACTTGATGAAATCCCATTACTAAAACAGAACTATCTCAGTGGGCTGAGGGTAAGTAGTTACCAGCTTCCCAGACCATTATGCTGTGCTAGGCAATTATCAGCTATCTCTCCACTTGTCTCCTACTTCTGGGATTGGTGATATTCATTCATTCAACATTTATTGAGCACTTTCTGTATACAATTATGTACACTCTGTTAGGGACACAAAGATTGAAGATGGTGGCACAGAGAAGGTAGATGGCCGCAGTAAAGTGAGAGAAAACCACCAGAAGTGGGCAAGTAAATTCAGGTGACAGTTTAGCAAAGTGTTATGGGGCAGAGGGGAAGGATTTGTCCAGACTTATCCTGACTCTTGTGAGAATTGGCCAGATTGAGAAAGGAGGATCAGAAGTTCTCAGGGGAATACTGTGGCCAAGACTGAGAGGTGTTAAGTAGGAGCAGCTCCAAGCATGGTTGACAGAAGAGCTTTATTTACTTGACTCCACCCAAGATGTCCATTAGTTCTCCCAAATCACACCAAATAAACGTATAATCTAAGATAAAACTATGCAGAAGACATTTCAAATCAATGAAATCTCCAATTGGAATTGGAACTGCCAATTCCAATCTGATCCTTGGCCCTAAATAGAGGTCCTGGAGAAGCCACTCTGGGAATGATTCTTGCATATTGGGAATTTGGAATGGAAGCAGAGGGAGTAGAAAAAGTCTTTGTCGCACCCAATTAGACTTGATTTCTCCAATATTTCTTCTTTCCTGGCTAGAGCTGTTGGCATAGATAGAGTTAAAACTCTTAGAGACAAGTTTTATGCCAAACAAGGAAGCAAATACCCATTCTGGGCCCTCCCTGGCCATGTTTACCATGAGAATTTGAGTTTGCTGATGTCTGGGACCATATACACGCTGTTTATCTCTGCTTCTCCAGTACCCACTAGAGTGCCTGCACATAATAGATACACAATCTTTTTTTTTTTTTTTTAATGAATGAATTCCTGGGGGAATGAGCAACTATAGATTTTGGTGAGTAAATACTATTTTATTTATGATCATAGAAAGAATGAATATTTTGCTTAATGTTATCCATTGAGAATATATTTGTTTGAAAAGTAGTTCAATTACGTCAAGAGTAATTGCCCGTTATTATAGACTTATTCCAATTCCTAGAGAAATGAGCATAATTTTCAAAGCATAATTATATCTGACATTAAGTGACTTCTCTGTGGACTCTTTCTTGAAAACAGAAAATTCGAAGTCCCATGATGCAGCAACAGTGACTCACCTTTCCATCTGAGGGCCGTTCCTCCCAGTTCAAGTATGATGTTTGCTTAAAAGATGAAACCACCCCCATTCTAAGTAAATAATGACATTTGGACAACTCTTCAAGGATGAACATTTTATTGGAATATAGGCATTTGGCAGAGTAAATATGTGGTTACAAAGTGCTTTAAGTTTATTTGCTTTATATAGTGACCAGAAAAACCCATCCACAGTGTAGATTTTTTCTTGAAGTGGCAGACTTCAGAAGGCAAGTCCCCAAACCCGCTTATTTATTAGTAGAGTATGAAGACATATGTACCCAACTTTTTTTTACCTAGTGAACCTGTATTGTTTTTAATACAGGTTTTTATTTTTATTGTTTTTAATTTAAATTGCTATGCAGCATATAGAGTTTAGCACTTTTTAAAAGAATGAAAATCACTCATCTGGGAGAACTGTGAACCCCTTGGAAACCAGGGACTCTAATCTGGAGGGTTACAAAACCAGACTTGAGAATCTTTGCAATAAAATGTAGAAGATAAGGCCTAGAGACCTGTGGTTTTTCACAGGTCCTCTTTCTAAAAGCTTTCTAAAAGCTTTTGGACAGATGGGAATCTTATCCTTGTGGTTTCCAAAATGCCTTTTTTTTTTTTTTAAAGAGAGAGTTTTCTCTGCATAATTCAAGGCACCGCTGTCTCCACTCTAAGCGGCAAAGGGAAAAAGATGACAAGCTGATTTTTTTTTTTTCAAGGAAAATATTCTCCTTGTAAAAGGTCAATAGTAACAGAACTCATTTAAAGTCATGGAATTTTTCCCAAAAACCATGTCCTAAGGTTTTATGCATTTCTAATAGATTTGCCCGGAGGAGAGATCCCCAGAGCACCACGCTGGAAGCTTTTCAGGCTGCTCATTTAAATTACAATAACCTTGCTCTAACCTGGAAACCACTGAAGCAACACATACAAGTCTATTAAAAACAAGACAAGCTCATAGTAATCTGAAGTTACTCCATTCTACATGTTAAAATGAATAAGGGATATTTTTAATGAACTTTAGTTTCCTGCTCCATCACCAAATGGAACAATCATCCTGCTTAGTCTACTGAACTTGTCTTTTGTGAAATAAGTACAGAAACATTCTTTGTGTTCTCAAGTCTACCCTACCACTTAGTTCTCAGTACCCTCTAGCCTACAAGATGGGCACTGATTTTCATCCATCCAAAGCAGATGTACTTTCTTTTAGGGTTGGAAAAATCTCTTGGTTTTCCAAGGGGTCCAAGAAGCCGTGAGGTGAGCAAAGGAAGGAAGCTAGGAAGCTCCAGCATGGGCTGGGCCTGGGCTGGGACCTCCTTACTCACTGACAATTCTCCTGGAGAGAAGGGCCGTGCTTGGTGGGGCTGGGCATTACGCCCTTGGCTCCCGGCCTTACTGGGCAGCGCATCCGACCATCTGGCTGTCTGCCTCGTGGACTCTGGACTTGACCGGAGGAAAGACTCCCCAAGGGCAGAAAGCCCAGTTAAAAACGTCTCCCTGCCTGACAGCGAGCCCCAAATCAGCCCAGCACAGAGTGTGGTGGATGTTCAGGGCTCACATTTCTTGAGCAGCTCAACGCTTGCCAGTTCTTAGGCTAGGCACTAGGGATATGACAGGGACTGGAGAAGGCAGGGAGCCATTATGCAAGGCTGTGTACCTCTAGCAGGAATGGTGTGTACACCATTAATAAACCCCAATTTCTGTCCTCGAAGAGAGGGGTCCCAGGAGAGACGGCCAGTAAACATAATTTCAGTACCCTGCGCTAAATGCAAGGATATGAGTGAGCACTGGGTACTGCGGGGACCTGAGAGGAGTAGCCTCCACCCTCTCTCTCTCTATAAGGAGACCCTGCATAGATGTGAAGATCTAAACACTCTAGGAGAAGTGAAAACAATTCAATATGAGACTATGATGATACTGATTATTCTTCATTCTTTATCACCTGGAAATTCTTCATGGGGAGGTGGACAGAGAAATATTTTAATTCCTGGTGAAAAAGTTAAACCATGGGACAAAGTCTCTAAACAACTGACATAAACTTGCTGCTGCTGATCACAGTAAGCTTTTAGGACAGTATGTTGGGATCTAACATTAATATTTGTGGAAGGAAATGTCAAGAGGTAGTATCTGAGACTGGAGCTTTTAGGAAATGAAGGATAATAGAACCTATGTTTTTAATCTCCTGCAAGTAAGTCCTTTAACATAAACATTTATTGGTCAGGATCCATTGAGAAGTATCTGTGTCTCTTTCCATTGAAGTGTAAGTTCCAGGAGGGAGGAACAGAGTCGTTTTCACTACAGTATCTCTAGCACCTGGGACATAATAGGGACTCAGTTAACTTGCTGAATGTCCAGACAAATGATTTCCGCTTTGGGTGATGTCTTTGGAACTTGATGCTGTACATCTTGGCTTTTCTCTTTCTTGTCCTTCCTTCATTCCTTCCTTGCTTCCTTCCTTTCCCATTTATTCACTTTCTTCCTCTTCTGGGAATGAACCAGGACTGCTTCAATGGATAGAAAGTTATGATGGTTTGAAAATTGACATGTTTTTCTTTTAATTCCCATAGGTCTTTTAATTTGTGCCAAAGCACCTTACCTATTCCTCCTCCTCCTCCTCCTCTTCTTCTTCTTCTTTTTTTTTGTTGTTGTTGCTGTTGTCACTATGCCTAGCACAGCACACGGCATACGGTAGCTACTCAAATAATGCTTGCTTAATTGGTAGTCTTTTATGCTTAAGAATTAGCTAAGGGCCCCCTGCACAGTCTAAGGCTAATTTGGGATGCTTTCAGGCTTAAACATGCCAAGGAAATTTTCTTGCCTCCTCTGAATTTCCCCAAAAGGTGATTAATTAATAAGAATCAACACAATTAATTAACAAGAAATTAATAGTAGAATCAGTAACAAGCTCAGACAGTCCCACAGACCACAACTTTCCTCTGATTGTGTTCAGCGTCACCCTGCGTGCTCTCAGGCGTAATCTCTCAGGGTCTATGGGGCTGCCCACAGCAGGGTGATCGGTGTTCACCACCCTTTCCGGTGGCCTGACTGTGGATGAATGCTGAGTCTTTCAGAGACAGTGAAGTTGCTTGAGTGGATGGTGAAGCTTGATTTACAATAAACATTTGCATTCTTACCAAAAATTACAAAGCCTTGAAGGACATTAGAGGAAGATGTGCAGTGTATTGGAAACTGGGCTTCTACTGTTTTCTTCATCTTTGCTGGAACACAACTGCCCCCTTAGACATCCACAGCTGCCTCTCACCCTAAACACTTCCCACTAAAATGCTAAAGCGGTAATTCAGGGTAGAACACTTCAATCCCACAGAGGTCTGCCTCACTATGCATGCTCTGTGTGCATTTCCTCTGGTTTCATGACACACGTTAAGGAAGTACTTATTTATTTATTTCTTTTTTGGTAACAACTTGTGTGCAATCCCTAAGCATACCCATAACTATTAACCTTTGGCTGAGTTTGTACAAAGAAATACTTAAGCCAAATTGTCCCTTTCACTCTTCGGAGGGCTGCTCTGGGGTACTCTCCCCCAAATCTGGTGAACCTACCAGATCTATGTTTGGAGCATTCTCTACCACCCACTGGCACTCATGAACACCGGCAGCCTTAATCTCCTCTGTCTTCACACTGGTAGTAGCCTGGGTCATGCTGCTGGTTTCTCCCAGGGTTTCTTCCACAGAAACTGGGCTCTCACTGGGGCAGGTGTGGTGAGCACCGGAAGTGCAATCTTCCTGTGGCCTGGCCTCATCCTCCACAACAGACGCAGCCCCTCTTCCATCCTGGGCATCCAGGCTGGAAGACCTCCCCCGGATCTCCCCCTCAGTGGGCTCCCCAGCCTCTGCTTGCTGCTCTGTGGGGTCTGGGCTGCTGGCACCAGGGGTGAGCCCTTCACAGGCCAGCTCGGCCCCCAGAAATCCCCCCAACTCCTCCCTGCTGGCCTCCGCCTCCGGAGGGGGAGGATGGGCCTCCCTCCCACTGATCTCACTTTCTTCACAGCTGTCCTGAATCTCCCCCTCAGTGGGCTCCCCAGCCTCTGCTTGCTGCTCTGTGGGGTCTGGGCTGCTGGCACCAGGGGTGAGCCCTTCACAGGCCAGTTCGGCCCCCAGAAATCCCCCCAACTCCTCCCTGCTGGCCTCCGCCTCCGGAGGGGGAGGATGGGCCTCCCTCCCACTGATCTCACTTTCTTCACAGCTGTCCTGACTGGAGGCAGCTGCTTGATTGGCCTCTGCGTAGGTTGGGGTTGTTTCCTCTAATTTTTCCATTTCTTGGGGAGCGAGGGTCTCTTCATTTGTATCTTCTTCAATCTCGAGGGTGGAAGATTCCACTGGCACTTCAATGGTCACCGTCAACAAATTTCTGAGCTCCTTTAAGGAACTCGATGCAGAGCTGGATTCTGGCTTTTCGTGGGTGGGTTCTCCGTCCTTAGGAGCCCCTCCAAACTCCAGCTCTGACGAGTGTGTGCCCAGGGCTCCTGCTGTGTCCTCTGCAGTCACGAGATCTACAAGAGGGCCATCCATGCCTGAAATAATCATCTGTCCGGTCCCACCTGGGGGAGGGGTGGGGACAGGGAAAGAAAGGCTTTCTTCTTTGGCCAACGGACTAGAGACCCCAGGCTGCTTCTTTTCCCCTGACTCCTGGAATACTTCGTTACTTAGCGTTTCACTATCTGAAACTCCTGGCAGAAGGGCCGAGGCTCTCCTGGCAGGGCTGGCCTGATTTGACCCTGCAGAGGTTTTGATATCAGTTAAACTGGACACACTTTCGCTGGGCAAGGCCATATTGTCTTCAAATAAGTTGTGTTTCTTCAGGATAGCAGCTTCCTTTATCACTGAGAGAGACCAGAAAGCAAAACATGACATTAACACTCTGCCCTGGCCACCCTGGATTTTCTGACTTTATCCAGAAGCCAAACTCCCTTCTCCCAGCTTTTCGGCCATCCAAATTTCTCAATTTCAAGTTCCTGCTTATATCCACCCTCTTCCAGACCATCAGGTCCCTGATGACCAAAGCCCACAGACCCATTCTGAACTCTGGACCTCTGTAGTGTTCATTCATTCATCCCTTTGCTCATTCATTTATTCAAACTGAACATCAACTGAGGGACAGACTCTGAGAATCCAAAGATGAATCAAATATGGTTTTTGCTTTCAAGGAGCTCGCAACCTATACTAATATCATCTGTATCATTCATAGAGGCCCCACTGCAGAGGCAGGTCGGTCTGGCGTTTCTCGGCTTCTCACAGGACAGTCCTGAATGTGTAATGGGTACTCAGTATTGAACACAGAGAGAGCTCTATAGACCTGTCATGTCTGGAATGAAGACCTATATGCATCCAGCTCAGTCTTAGAGGCCTTGAGGGGACTAAAACCAACAATAATGATTATAGCAGCTGACATTTTTGATCATAGACCCCTACTAGAGCTCTGCAGGTTGTACAGTGCCCAACAGTGTCATATCCAAGAGCATGTATCATTCATATCAGAGATGGCACAGATTTGTGTATTCAGCATAATTTTCTAGCAACTAGCAGTAGAGCATCTTGCACTGATAAAATCGGTATGTCACGGCAATTTTTGACAGAGAACAGCCAGTGTTTGGAGAAGGGGAGCCTTTTCCTAATTGGCTCAAAGGTGCCATGATGGACTGGCAACAGGCTGGAGTGAGCCCTTCCCATCAGACACTGCGCTGACATCTTTACATTTCCTATCTCCTTGGATTAGCTACTGGGGCTTGTGTTTGGCCAGTTTTCCTTGTGGAGGGATTTTTTTTGTGATACTAACACCTTCCCCATGGAGACCAGCTACGTTTCAGGCCTACGGTTTGAGGGAATGGCCCTAACCAGCATATTTCTATCAGAGTTGTCCTGTCCACAGTCTCATCACAAGCCTGATTCCACAGGACAGGGGGTGCTAGAGTCCCAAGAAGACTCACGGGGTACTGCGTGGGCACCCTGTGTCTGCTTCTGCCCCGCCGACAGGATGTGAGGCATGTGCTGAGGGAGCAGCTGACAACCCTTGCTCCCGGAATCGCCTCCTCCTGCCTCAGGGAGGGGCTGTGAGTCTGCGGCTAAAAGCACCTGTTCTTCTTTGTTCTGTCTGGAGCAGCTGGAGGAAGACAGCTGTTCATGAGACCGTCTAGCCTTAATCTCCCTAAACCTCAGTTTTCTGTGAAAAATGAAGCCTGAAATCTCTTTCTCGCAGAGTTCTTACTGGTATTCAAAGAAGGAGTATCTACTGGGCCGGCACAGTGTGTGCCAGATTAGGACTCTCCATCAAAGCTGGTAGTCCTCTCTCTTCCCTCTCCTTTCTTCTCTGTCTCCCCAACAAACCAGTAGCCATTTCCTCTTCCCCTTCCATCCTATTGAGGAACCTAGCCGGCCTCACTGGGTCCCCTGTACCTGAAGTTCCCTCAGCCCCAAGTAAATCTTCCTCACCTTTCAGAGTTTCATCAAGGAGGCTCTGATGTAAAATCTCCTCATAGACATTTTCAACATGAATCATATTGGTGTGATCTGCAAAAATGAACTGTTCATATTTCTGGAGCTCCTGGAGTGAGGAGAGAGGAAGACAGAGGACGAGGCATGAGATGCCAGTTTGCAGACGAGGTACAGGGAGCCTCCCACTGATGATGCCCTCCTTGCAGTGTGGGGCACTCAGCCACTGGTCATTCCCTTCCCTTCCCCAGGCACGAGGCACTGTTTCCCGTACTTGGCACACGCTCTGTGTACTTCAGGGGTGTAGACAACACAGATTTTAAGCATCTCAAGGCCCTGTCTGTGGGTCAGTGGGTCTCAAGGCCCTCCTTTTTTTTTCTGTCACAACCAAAATGTTTCCTTCTTCCTTTTTTTTTTTCTTTTAAACTCCAATAGTATTTTACCAAAGTATAAGTTACCTTGGTAAACATACACATTTTACAAGTATATCTCAGTGGTTTTAAATATATAACTATACCCATGTTAACTGTAACCCAGATCAAGATAGAGACTATTTCCAGCACCCTGTGACTTTTTCTTGACTACACCCCCAAACAAGAGGTAAGCACTACTCTGGTATCTGTCACAACAGATTCGTTTTTCTAATTTTTTTTTTTTTTGAGACAGAGAGAGAACATAAGGGGGGTTAGGGAGAGGGAGAGAATCTTAATTAAGCAGGTTCCACACCCAGCAATGAGCCTAACACAGGGCTCAATCTAACAACTCTGAGGTCATGACCTGAGCCGAAATCAAGAGTTGGATGCTAAAAAAAAAAAAAAAAAAAAGAGTTGGATGCTTTACAGACTGAGCCACCCAGGTGTCCCTAGTTTTTCTGATTTTTGAACTTTACATAAATCAAATCATATATTCTTGTGTGTTTGGTTTTGAGATTCATCTGTGTTGCTACATGTATCATCATTAGCTTGTTCCCTTTTATTGATAAAAGGCATTCATTAGATGGATAAACTTAAATTTTTTAGCTATCCTCCTTATTGAGGGTGTTGAGGTTTTCTCTTTTTTTAAATTAAAAAAAATTTTTTTAGATTTTCTCTTTTTTTTTTTTTAAAGAAGTAACCTCTTAATTTTTTTTTAATTTTTTTTTTTATTTTTTTTTTATTTATGATAGGCACACAGTGAGAGAGAGAGAGGCAGAGACACAGGCAGAGGGAGAAGCAGGCTCCATGCACCGGGAGCCTGACGTGGGATTCGATCCCGGGTCTCCAGGATCGCGCCCTGGGCCAAAGGCAGGCGCTAAACCGCTGCGCCACCCAGGGATCCCATGATTTTCTCATTTTTTTAACTGTTACGAATACAATTGCTACAAACATTCTTGTGCATGATTTTTTTTTTATCTTAAGTATATGCCTAGAAGTGAAATTGCTGGCTCCTGGATTAGATGTTTGTTTAACTTTATTAGAGGGACCCTTTTCACAGATATGGAGAATCTCTAGTCAAGGACTCTTCAGGAACATTCTCCTCTTTCCCTCCAACTGGTCCTGACACTCATTGATTCCCTCTAAGACAACCCAGGCAGGATGTGAAATCTTTGAAAACTTTCTGCTCTCCAAGAGTTTCCAGATGGCTTGAGGTCAGGGTAGGGATCAAAATGTACCAAGTCACATGCCAGTGATTGGTATTCAAAGGGGCCCAAGAGCCAGGGCCTTAGTAGTGGGATTTGATGCCTTTTGCCTAAAGGGACAGGATCTTCAGCATGTGATCAGAAGCCACCACATGCAGACAACTCAGTGTTAGGAGTTGGGGGTCTATAGTCCTGGACCAGATCACAGCAGGCAATAATGGGGTCCTTTTATATCCACCCTAGAGCAAAGCCAGAGGATTGAAAAGACATGAGCTTCCATGACCCTGAGAACATCTGTGAGGCAGGACTGACACACAAAACAGAACTGTGTGGAAAGAGCACTGCCCAGGAGGCTGGACACTGCCCTGGATTTGCTGTGGGACCCAGGCAAGCCATGGCACTGATCCCTGCCTCTCTCTTCCTCTGCAAAGCAAGGGGCACAGACTCATGTCTGCAACACCCGTTCATCTCCCTAGGTGGTCTCCCACTCTCTATTCCCCTGATTCATGCTTCAGGACTAGGCAAAAACATGACTCTGGGAAGTCCTCCCTGACCCCATAAGCAGAGCTGGGCACCTGGCTCAGCACTCTGGTTGTCCCTCTTTCCCATAGGCTACCGCTGTGTTCATCACATGGCACACTATATGCCTGTCCTTGCCTGTCCCCTGCCTTTAGGCTATAAACTCTGGCACAGCAGGGATGTTGGCCTGGCAAGGTGCCTGGATCACATGTGATATATAGTCAATACATGTTTGCTGAATAAACAGGAGACCTTTAAAATTTCGAACAGCTAGGGATGCCTGAGTGGCATAGTAGGTTAAACATCTGACTCTTGGTTTCAGCTCAGGTCATGATCTCAGGGTTGTGAGACTGAGACCTACGTCAGGCTCTGCACTCAGCATGGAGTCTGCTTAGGATTCTCTCTCTCAAAAAAAAAAAAAGATTCTCTCTCTCTCTCTCTGCCTCTCCTCCCTGCTTGCAACTCTCTCTCTCCCAAAATAAGTGTGTGGAAAGGAACAGTATCTATGGATGTTTATATTATTGTGACATGTCCAGCTTGGTAACATAGGTCTTCTATATTGAACTGACTGAACTGTGTGTGACATATGTTTAATTCTTGGAGCAATTTAATTGGAACCACACTAAGGGTAGGTTTGGGGGAACCAGAAATTTTTTTATACCTCCCCAGGCAATTTTAATGTGCAGCTTGGATGGAGCACCACAGATCTAGGAAGCTATGATTTAAAGAACCAAAGGAAACATACTTTAGTCAAATAAAGAATCCTTCAGCAAAGCAGATAATCCGCTAATTTATCCATTCTGTAAATCCAGATTTTAAGAAATCTCTTGGCACTGAAATAATACCCTTCATTACTAAAAACTTGGGGTCTCAGTTTCTTTGGAAACCAATCTCAATTGATTAAAAATCACAAGAGTATTTTATAGATTGGGTACAACTCTGCTGATGTTTGGAAAAAGGGAACAGAAAAGAAAGGGGAGACTTTCTTTGTCCTCTTCTGGGAGGAGGTAGCTCTGGCGCCCTCAGATTGCCTTTTGGATTGAAAAAGAAAAACAGTCTAAAGTAGAATGTCTGTGTGCAGACACATCCAGAGGTGGACTAAGTCACCCTTTAGGTGTCTAAACATTTCCATCCACACATGGCCAAAGGACATCCATATAGACAGACTCTTCATTCCTGTGGCTTGGTTAAATTCCCAGAAGTAAATGCCCAGTACTAAATATGCCAAGACTCTAAAGAAAAAAGCATTTATAGAATATAAAAATAACCAAAGACATTTCTGCAGTAAAATAACTCATGCTAAGGATTTTAACGTTCTAATTCTTGGAGACCCTCTCAGCTGCCCAAAAGCCCTTTTTCAATCCTCAAAAGCTCTTTATGATTTGCTCCAAGAGGGAGAAGGCACTGACAATGTCCAGGCTCATAGATTATTTCTGAAACGTAGAAATAGTAGTGGTATATACCACTCACTGAATACACACCATGTTATCAATGACTATGAGCTGAGTTCAAACTCTGGTCCTCACCAGCTCTGTGACTTTGGGCCTATGACTCAATCTTCAGGTTTTCTCATTCCTACAATGAGAATATAAATAGTACTTCCTCCTAAAGTTGTCGTGTGAATTATTGAGATAATCCATACAAAGTGTTTAACATAGTGCCTAACACATGGTAAGCACTTGTCAAATAATAATTCTAATGTCATCTTAAGAAAGGTGCTGCAAAATAAATCGTCTCCATTTCCCAGAAGATGGAATCTAGGCCAAGATAGAGGAAAAGTGACTGCCCAAGGCACCAGAGCCAATACACAGAGAAACTAGGACTTGAACTCAGGTCTTGTATATTATATGTGCTGCCAAAGCGAGCACTGAACCCAGGTCTTGAACCAACCTCCGGAGGTGGCTCACCTATGGCTCTGCTCTGCAGTCCAATGCACACCTTCATAAACATGGCTGTCATTGGTAGCAGCTTTAAATGGTTTCAGTTTCATTGATTTCACCAAATAAACATTGAAAGAAAAAATATTCTTCTGTGATCATGTTACTTAAGGTCTTTTCCTGGATGTAGTGGTCAAGTTTCAGAGGACACGTGGTACCCATGAGCCATACTATGATGAGGAGCACCTGGTATCATCGGGTGCTCTATGACAACCCTTCATTTGGCTCAAAGTCAGATCTCTACCTTTGAGATTTTGTCTAGTCTGGGGGTTGATAAATCTGAACGCTGCTTGCTTTTGTAAATAAAGTTTTATTGGAACACAGAAGCACTCATTGTTATATGTTGTCTATGTTTGCTCTTGCACCTAGCAGAGTAGTTGGAACAAAAACAGTAGGACCCAAAACATTTATTCTCTGACCATTTGCAGAAAAAGTTTGCTGACCCCTCCCTGGTCTAGTCAGCTGTTTGGAAGCACATCATAGCCAAAGAATTTGCTTGAACTTCACAGCAATAAAAGCAGGCTCTCAGGAGTAACCAAGCCCCTTACTGGTTTGCACGTGGATGCCAGTGCCTTCTGCACGGTGGGAAGTGTGATTTGAACCAGTGCCTCTTGAAATATCCTCTTCCGGATGGTGCTGCTGTCATAATCATATTGCTGTCAATACAGAGATAGAAACATATGCTAAATAGCAACATTACAATCTGTTATCTTTTGCTTAAACAAAAATGCAGTCACTCACTTGTCTCCCTTTTCCCCCTATTTCTGAGGACGCTTATGGTATTTCCAAGGTCTCAAAGATCTTACTATGCAATTCTCTTATACTTTGGGAGGAGGGTATGACTATGAGTGACCCATCTTACTCTCCCCTCTTACAGATAGAGAAACTGAGGCAAGATCAAAACAATAAATTTTGCATCAAAAAGAAGTTGGGGGTGAGTTTGTATGTCATCACCCCCATCCTGGGTGGGTCCATAGGAACCAAGATCATCTACTCCTTTCACTCTACATCCAAAAAAGCAGGATCGGTGGATTGTAATGATTTCCACAAAGGAAGAGAGCGTCTGGCATATAGCTACCTTAACACCATGGCGTGCTAACCAAGGAAGTTTAGAATCCAGACCAAGAAAGATGATGATTCACTGTTCTGCATGGAATATTCAAACCTAGAGGCCAGAGTTTGGTTTTAGATGACACTTTAAGAAGATCACAGACAAAAAAAAAAAAAAAAAAAAAAAAAGGAAGATCACAGACAAACTAGAACACAGTCATGGGTATGTGAGCGGAATTGTCAGACCAAATAAAGAATGGTTAATGGCACTAAGGCATTTATACTGGAGATAACAACCATGGGTGAAATTATAGCTCCATTCAAACAACCAAAGGCCACTCTGTGGAAGAAGGACATAAACAGGGAGAACAGAACTAGAATTACCAACAATGACAAGTTTTTTTGCAGTTAAAAGTGTCCGGAGAAGAAATGGACTGTCCAGGGGGGTATAAAGCATCTTGACACTGGAGGTGATACTGTTATTGACACTCTTTTCTTTCCAACTGCAAGTTCATTATTACTTGTGTTCCATAATAAATATTGCTTTTAATCTCAGTGATTTGGTTGCCATTGTTTCCTACTGCTTATGAGGTATTAAGATTGGGTCTAAAATTCAGGGACCGCCCCCTAGGCTCTGTGGGACTTTGATCTTCTGCTCCAAGGCATGTTTAGGGGAATAGGTGGTAAGAAATTGGTGGACTAAGTTTAAGAATTGTTTTGGCTGTAGGCTCACCATTGACGAGCCTGCTGAGCTTCAGTAAGTCACGTTAGCTCGTAGTGAGTCAGTTTCCTCATCTCTATAACAGAGACATATTCTAATTGTCTCACAAGTCCTTGTGAGGATCAAACGAAACAGGATAGGTTACAAACAAAAAAGCTTTAAACATAGACCATATGTGTGCAAGCTGCTATTATTAAAACCATTTTGCTGTATACTTAAGCAGTAAGCACATTAAAAACACGTTCGTATGGCAGGTGCCTTTTTTTGTTTTTTGGAGTATTTCCTTTGCCAGGAGATTTGGATTTTTCTAAAAAATGTTGGCTAATTTAAATGGGTTTTACTACATTGTAAACTCTTTGAAGAAGGAAGCTATGCTGCGCCTGATTTTACATTTTTGTGTAATATCTATCACGGCGCTTTGCTTATAGTGGACAGTCAATAGATATCAAGTGCGGTTGCTCTGAATATAAGCCAGGACAGGGCACTTCTCGCGGATGGACCAGGATCCTGAGGACCTGAGGTCCCTAAAGTTGCCACTAGATGGCAGGACAGGCACGAAAGTCCTGGAGGGAAAGAGGGCAGGATTACAAACGGGGTGTGAAAGACAGAGCTTGGTATTTTCCACTTAACAAAAGAAGCAAGGGGGGGGGGGTCACACTGTTGTTTTACACTTCCCACAAATGAGAGGATGGTTTTACCTTTAAGACTCGGAGCTTAACCTTCTCAATGGCGACTGCAGTTTTAGAGGTCTCTCCTTGGAGGTGTGGGGAAAGCAACTGCTCGAAAGTGAATACTGCATTCTCCATTAGCTAGAAACCAAAAACAACACGGAAGGGCACCAGGTCAGAGGCTGGGGTCTCTACCCCAGAGCAGGAGCAGGGAGGGGATGACCATCATGGTCCCTTCAGGCACTACTCTGGGGCCACCCAGGGCAACAGATCTTCATCCCCCTACCTGGCTTGGGAAATAGATAGGCACTTGGCCACAGTGGGACCAATAAGAGTCTGGGAAATAAAACACATGCTCACACACGTGTGTCAGTGTGCATACATGTATTTTCTTCCTCCTCTCGCCTTCATGCTCTGAGCTGGGAGGCCCATGGCGGCCATGGGATTGAGAATACCATCCTCTCCCATGGCCAACCCCTTCCTCCAGTCTCTGGTACCTGCAGCCTGGGCTTGACATACTGAGGTGGGAGGCTTCCCTAGTTATTTTTTGCTGCTCTAATGCTGTACTTCCACTTTTCTGTGGTTGCAAAGCACTCCAGCACACGTCTCTGCACTTTCCAGCCTATCACCATCTCACTTCTCTTCCTTTCTCTGCCAGTCTGGAAGGGAGGCAGGGTCAGGGGTTGGTGGGCTGATATGCTCAAAGGGTAGGAAACGGAAATGATTCAGATTTCTTATTCTCTGCACTTGTACCTGTATCGGTTTCACCAAGGTTCGGTATTACCAAAGGGACTTCTGTTAAACTGTTGCCCAATTTTGTTCCCGGTCCATCTTTAATCCTTCACAATTCAAAGGCTAGATAATAAGGTGTATCACTTAACCCGTCCTGTAGCTTGTAAGGAACAAATGTTCCTTTCTTCCCCAAGCCTGTGATCCCAAAGCATGAACACACAGCTTTGTCACAGCACTCTCAACACTGTAGTAACCTGATCTAAGCATCTCTCCTGGAAGTGGGTTCTGGCACTGTGCCCAGCCCTTTAGTATGCTTCCCCAGAACACCCCTGAAATAGAATTGTGTTCTGAGGGCTCCAGCGATCACACCTTTCTTCATTTAGAAAGCACCGTACTATGGAAAGAATTTATGCTTGTTCCTAGAGAAAAAGTTCCTTGGGGTGGGGAGGGGAATCTATCAAGTAGACCCAAGAAATCCAAATATGAAGCCATGATTGATTGGTTGATTTCCTCTTAACCAGGTTCGGGAATTAGTGTAGGCTACTAGTTCTCCATTCTGGCTACCTATTAGATGTAGTGGGAATGGGAGTGAGGGAATTAGTGGGAGTGGGGCCTAGACATCAGTATTTCTCTAAAGCTCCCCCAGACAATTCTAAACCTTGTGTAGCCAAGGTTAAAAGTGCTGATTTGACAAATCAAGTAATTATCAATTAATGCTACTTGATTTCCCTGAAATGTTTTTTCTTTTTCTTTCTGATGTTATCAACATGGAAGAAGATGAAGCCAGTTGGAAGGACCAAGTATGTCCTTACTCAACATGATGACAACAGAAACAGGCCCCTTTGCCCAGGGCTGCACAGGCACACCGGTCTCACTAGCCAGCCCGTTTCTCTGCTGTCTCCATCCTCACCCCCACCCATGGAAGCCCCTGCTGCTCCCACCTCCTGCATGTAGTTCTGTGTCCTCTGGACCACCAGATCCACGTGGGGGAATCTGAAGCGGCTCTTGAGATCCTGCAAGCGCTCCTGAAGCAGGTTGACTTTACTATAACACGGTTCCATCTTCATGGAATCCAGGGGAAGATTCATGAACTGGCCTAGATGCTGCATTTTGGTGAAAGGAAAAATTAAATACCTTCAGACACAGAAGCAATATTACATGCATATTATATATTAGATAAATTCAAAATGATCAAATGTATGTTATTAGAGTGATTCACTTCTCAGATTACTATATCTGTGAAATTTCAAATGTCTTACTTTCCTCCTTCAAGGGTCCCTGGGGCAGCTCCATTGCTAGGGCAGAGACTGGTAGAAGAATCAACTGGATGATGGAAGGAGAGCATCTGGGAGGCCCCAATCTTAGCTTTTGATGGATGCTGAGCTCCCACTTTCAGAGCTCAAGAACTAGGTAGGCAGGCTTCTTGGCACCAGGAATTGTTGCTGGGCACCTGGGGCCTCCAAAGCCTTCTTTAATGAGTGCCATTCACTTAAAAAACCTCTGGGAAGTCAGGGTGTCCGGGACCCCGGGACTCTGGGAATGAGCCCGAATCTCCACCATTCTCTGAGGCTCCAGGGCTCACGGGGCTTCCTCTGCTGTAGGTTGTCTATGGTGCTAGTGGGTGGGGGAGATAGGTAGTAGGAGGAGGCCCGGCCTGGGAGAGGCATCCAGTTTAAAAACCGGGGTCCTACCTCCTCTGCTTTGCACAAGGAATGAAGCCACAGGGCTCCTGGCAAGAGGGCTGCAACAGATCCCCTCCATTAAAGACATCAGGTTTTACCAACATACTCTTACACCATGAGTGTTGTTGCCAACTGAATGCATTCTATTTTCCAAGCGAATTTTCAAATAATTTTTAAAATTGAGGGGATCCTGGGGTGGCTCAGTGGTTTGGCACCTGCCTTCAGCCCAGGGCGTGATCCTGGAGTCCCGGGATTGAGTCCCACATAGGGCTCCCAGCATGGAGCCTGCTTCTCCCTCTGCCTGTGTTCCTGCCTCTCTCTCTGTGTTTCTCATGAATAAGTAAATAAAAACTTTAAAAAACAGAATAAAATAAAATAAAATAAAATAAAATAGAGTACTGAATACCTAGAATAAACAGGTGGGTGGGCAGAGGGAGAGAGGTGATAGAAATGTGCACTAAATGGATGCCCAGGGAGAACTGGGGAGGAACACAGAGTGAGTGTGAGTAAGAGAGGATGTGCTGTCTGATTTTCAAATCACAGAAAAGAGACAAAGCTAGAGTTCTAGGTTTCTCTAAATAGGAATTCTTACAGGGCTCATTTCCATTGCGTGTGTTTTATTTAAAGATTTTATTTATTTATTTATTTATTTGAGAGAGAGATAGAGCTGGAGCAGCAGCGGGGAGGGGGAGAAGCAGACGCCCTGCTGAGCAAGAAGCCCCACTCAGGGCTGGATTGCAGGACCCGCCCCTCCCAGCCCCAGATCAAGACCCAAGCCCCTTAACCCACTGAGCCACCCAGGCCCCCCCTCATTGTGTTTGTAAAGAGAAAACATCACCCTCATTGAGAAGGGAGTTGTGGGGAGCTGCACTGGAGTAGGATTAGTGGTCAAACACACACAGTCAAACTTGTCCCTCCTCACACAATATGTAACCTATCTGTTTTGAAGAAATAACAAGCAGACAAAAGAAGAAAACCAGGTTAATGCTCTGCTCCTATCAGCGTGGCCAAAGTTTAAATAAGTGGGAATGCCTATTGCTCATGGGCATCTGGGGAAGAAAGTCCTCTGCCATATACAACTGACAGGCAAAATTTAAATCCCCTCTTTTTTTTTGTGAAATGCAAATGGTAACATCTGTTAACAGGAGAAATAAACCCACCTTTCATCCTGGCAAGTCTGCCTTAGGAATTTATCCCACAGGAATGAAAGCATCAGAGTACAATATATGTAACAAGATTATTTATCATAGCTTTGTCCATGATGCCTGCAACATTTGGATAGTTGAATAAATCATGGTGGATTTGTACATGAAATATTATGTAGCCATTACAAAGAATGATTTAAAGCTAGAGCAGCTAATTTGAAGACAGTATTTTTTGAATGAGAACACTGATTGTAATACAATTCTATTTTTTTAAGAGCAGACAATCAGAAAAAACAGCTCATAAATGTGTATGTTTTATAACTACATAAGTGGGGTGAGGGATAAGTACAGAATGGCATATGCTAAGATGTTAACACTAGTTACTTGAAGGGGGGGTGTTGGGGGAGGGGAAGGAGGGAGGGTAAAGGCAAGTTTTTAAAAAGGGTTCAAAAAGAAACTTTAAAATATTTATAAAACTTACCTTGTTTATGTATAATTACATGTGTATGTATGCATAAAATAATAAGAAAGGGAAAAAAAAGAGAGGTATCTGGTTTTATTCACTGACTGGTAGTGATGTGTCAAATGTAAAACCAAGCTGCCATGTTATGTGACTGATTCCTGAACTTTGGGGTACATCACATCCATGGGAGGACTTTTGAAACAGAATGCTGGGCTCTACCCCCAGAGTTTCCAATTCAGTAGACTGTTGGTGGGGGCCTGAGAATTTGGGTTTTTAACAGCCAGATGATGACACTGCTGGTCTAGAGACCACATTTTGAGAAACAGTGTTTTTATCATGAGTCTCTCCTTTTTGGAAACAAACCAATGAGGATACATGCTTCTATATTTGCATGAACAAGAAACAAGTATGTGAAAACACATTCTAAGTTATTTAATTCAGGGAGTTGGGAGTGGAGGTAGCCTAGGAGTTGGTGTGGGTAGGAGTTGATGTGGGAAACAAAAGCAGCAGAAAAATTATTAAATTTCTTTCCTACCTACAGCCCACTGATGAGTCCTTGAAACAGAGTGACATTCCTCTAGGGACTCAATTGCCTTGATGTTGCTACTTTGCTAAGGGCGAAAGGCAAACTTAGCCTGACCCTCCAGGATCCTGAAAGTCTACTTTAATATATAAAAATTCCTTTGGAAACTTCCTTGATCTCTATCCCGCAAGATACATGTTAGCAATCATCCCCCAAGCATATGACCCACCAATACACATCTGAAGGATCTTATGACTCAGGCTTTATTAGACAGTAATAAATGATCCTTTCCCAACAATAACTAGTCCCCTCAAGGTCCTGGAAACCTTGCTTCCAAAATTCTTCAAGGACTTACACCCTCCACCCCAACTTGAAAGTCTATAATGGCCACTCCTCATGACACCAGTGCAGCTCTTTCTGCCCACGGGTCCTGTCCCCGTGCTTCAATAAAACCACATTTTTGCACCAAAGACGTCTCAAGAATTATTTTTGCGGGGACACCTGGGTGGCTCAGTGGTTGAGATCTGACTTTGGCTCAGGGCATGATACCAGGGTTCTCGGATCGAGTCCCTCATTGGGCTCCCTGCCAGGAGCCTGCTTCTCCCTCTATATCTCTCCCTCTCTCTGTGTGTCTTTCATGAATAAATAAAATCTTAAAAAAAAAAAAAGAATTCTTTCTTGCCTGTTGGCTTTGAACTCTTATGTCCTTCCTACATCATGGGTGATCAATTTTGCCCATATAGTCTCCCTATATATTGTTTCACTTGCACAAGCATATTATTAATTTTGCAACTTGAAAACTATTAATAAAGGAAATCAGGTGAATGGATAGATGAATGGGGTGGCTGGCTGAATGGAAGAAACAGATGACTGGATAAAAGGAAGGGGGAGAAGGGAGGAAGAAAGGAAAGGAAAGAATGCACGAGTACAGATAAAGGCCCAAGGGAAGGCAGCCCCAGACAAACCATTCACACTCGGCGACTCCGTATCTTACCTCCTTAAGCTGAGCACTGTCTTTGGTGGTCTGAAATTTCTGGCTAAGTTCATCCACTTCTTTTTCAAAGAGTGAGCGTACTTCACTGAATCCTGAGCTCACTGGCCCCATGAGCTCCTCTAGAATAGACGCCAAGAATGGTTGCACACTCTCTGCACAGCTTCTCTCTGCGGGCTGGGCCACCATGGCTGAGATAGGAAATAGGCAGAAAACCATCACTTATTATGGGCAAAATTGGGTTTAAAATCCCTGGAGCCAGGCCAGGGGTAGGCAGTGCCCCAGAGAGCCAATTGGCAGTCCAGGCAAACTCAAATAGGCAAGACAGAGCAGCATAGCGAGTCCTGTGTCAGCATTCACCAGAATGGAAAACCATTAGGTGTTTCCAGAATTGGAACAAACAATCCCTCCCCTTCCTAAGCTTTCCCCTGCCCTGGGATGAAATGCATTTTTCTGCATGGTCCCTATGAATGTGGAATAGAATGCAATGCTTAACAGAAAAAAAGAAAATGCTGGTGATCCACCCCTATTTACTATCAATTATCATTGTTAGATGTGCATACTTCATCTTCTAAAAAACACAATTTACTAAGTTTTTTAATTGAGGTATAACTGACATTATATTAATTTCAGTTGTACAAGATAATGATTCATTATTTGTATATAACAATTTATTAAGCTTTAATTAAGTTCTCTAAGAGTTAATCAGCTCATATAATTCATTTCCCCTCTCCCCTCCTTAAGAGACCGGTGAAAAACTCAAACAGTCTTTTCTTGGGCAAACAGAAACAAATTCCATTCAAAACAAATACCATCCCACCTACCATTCTCACCCCCAATTTTTTTTTAAAGCCATTTTTTCCCCCTGATAATCAAGGAAAACATACCCTGTGACAAAAATATAGAGAGTACGGGCACCTAGGTGGCTCAGTTAGTTAAGCATCTGCCTTAGGCTCGGGTCATGATTCCAGGGTCCTGGGATCAAGCCTGCACTGGGCTCTATGCTTGACATAGAGTCTGCTTGTCCCTCTCCCTCACCCCCAACCCTGCCCCAGTTTGTTCTGTCTCTCTCAGATAGATAAGTAAAACTTTAAAGACTCTAATTTATAATTAGAGAGAGAGAGAGAGAACAAAAAATCATAAAGAAGGGTGAAAAAATGTAACCACCATACTTCCAAAGGCAAATACTGTCCTTTGATTTAAAAAAGGAAGCATATGCCTTTGGCTCAGGGCGTGATCCTGGGGGTCCTGGGATCGAGTCCCGCATTGGGCTCCCCACAAGAATCCTGCTTCTCCCTCTGCCTATGTCTCTGCCTCTCTCTGTGCCTCATGAATAAATAAATAAAATCTTTAAAAAATAATAAAATAAGAGAGGAAGAGCATAGTAAAGGTGTTCATCCAGGAAGTCTGGATAGGACATGGAAATCTGTTTTTTTTTTTTTTTAAGTGTTCAAATTCTCATGATTAACCAGGTTTCAAAGCAGTGATCTAGTGAATGAAGCCTGAGCTGGAAAAGGCCTGAGCTTGTTCCGTAAACTGGAAAGTTAGCTTTGTGGTGTTTGTAAGTCAGATGGCCTTGTTACGGTATCACAGAACTGAGAAGGGAAGTGCAAGCATCTGGGTGTCCAATTCTTCCATTTTGTACATGGAAAATCAGAGGCATGGAGATGTCAGACGGCTTGACTAAGGTCAAATCCTAATTTCCAGATCTAGGGCTACACTACATTTCTTTATCTTATATTGACAAATAACTTGGTTACAACAAGATGAATGGGCACATTCCTATTTCAGTTTGCAGAAATATTTCACAGGTAAGGAGAATCAGGCTGCCTCTTACTCTGAGAACCTGAGATACCTACTAATACTATGAATAATTCACAAATATTTGGTATATAAAATATTAAAGAGGTCATAGAACTGCTAGGGGTAAAAAAAAGCCTTTTGATTGTGTGATTTAAATATGAAACAATCTATGCCTTCTAAAAATGACTTGCTTGATACCAAAATGCAAAATTGTGTGTCAGGAGAATAAATGAATTATTTATCAATTAACTTGGAGAGAGGAAAAGCATCTAATTGAAATTTCAGAATAATCATGAACACAGGTAATCTGCAGTAAAGATTTAGTGGCAGCTGGCAGGTTTCAGCTACTGAGTGGGGAAGAAATGGGCATAGGCAGGGGCCGGCTGTGGAGAACTGCTACCCCCCTCTCTCCCCGCTAATTCCAGGGTGCTGCCCGTGGGCTCCAACCTCTTCTCTGCACCTTTGTTCAGTGTTCCTTTCACCTGGGTCTTCCCTCCTCCCTCCCCTTCTGCTTGTGAACATCCCACTCACCTCTTCAAGACCCAGTATAGATTTCACCCACTTGGACAGCTGAATGCCCTGGAACCACCACACAGCTCCCTGAACTGCGGTCTGCCTGGCTGTGCTTCCTTCTGGATTGAATACATTTTACACCCCACACAGATATGCTCTGCTGACTTTCAGGGATGCAGAGATGCCATTGTAATGAATACTGTTTGGTGACACACTGATTCATAAACCATCCAGGAATTAGGGGAGGTGTGGAGGAGCCACCCAAGCAGAGGGAATAGGAAGGAAAGCGTTGGAATTAGAGGGGCTTGGAGCCTGTCTCAGTTTTGGAATCGGGGCAAAGTTACTTAAGCTCTGCCTCGGTGTTCTGATCTGTGAGGTGGAGATCATGAGAGTTATCACTTCGGTGGGTTGTGGCCAAGATGAAGTGGGCTTATGGTGGTCAAATGCTTGCAACTGTAGGTGGCACTCTGGAAGCACTCACTAGCTGGGAGCCCTCATTGTACCTGTCGGCATCATCCTTTATTCTCCACCAACGGACATTACAACAGCACTATTGTTATAAGGGGCCCACATGGTTTTTTGAAGCTGAAACACTTCCTGGCTAGGAACCATGGTGTCCTTGGTTCCTGCTTCTCTTGGGGCACCTTTCATATTTTTTCCTGCTGTTTCAGAATCTGTAACATGCCTCATGTTGTAGAATCAAGTTATCTTCTTTGAATCCTTGTAGCCCTTGTATTCAGCAGGCACAGAATAAATATTTATTGAATGAATAAATGATTGTGGGGCAGAACTAAAGATTGGTTGTTTTACTCTCAAGAGTCATATGGGAGGAAATGGAAAGATCACTGCTTAATACTCCCAAGAGTTTTTAAAAATCCAAAGCCCTTTACTGACACAGTCTGAAGTATGCAGTTGACCCTTGAACAACGTAGAGGTTAGGGGTGCTTACTGCCCTACCCCCCCCGTGTCATTGAAAATCTGTGCATGACTTTTGACTTCCCCAAAACTAAACTCCTAATAAATAGCCTACTATTGACCAGAAGCCTTACCCATAACATAAATAGTAGATGAAGACAGATTTTATATATTGTATGTATTATATACTGTATTCTTACAATAAAATAAGCTAGGGAAAATAAAAGGATAATCTTAAGGAAGAGAAGTCCTAAGAAAATTATAAGGAAGAGAAAATATATTTACAGTACTATTTTGTATTTATAAAAAAACAAACAAACAACCCTATAAGTGACCTGTTTGACCTGTTCAGCTCAAACTTGTGTTGTTCAAGGCTCAATTGTGCTTTCTTTTTCTGTTTTTTTTTTTTTAAGATTTTATTAATTTATTCATGAGAGAGGCAGAGACATAGGCAGAGACATAGGCATCTGAGCCAAAGGCAGATGCTCATCCACTGAGCCACCCAGGTCCCGCATTAACTGTACTTTCTTGTTTTAAAGGTGGAGAACCAGAGGCCCTGTAAATATGTGTTTCTGGTATTCCCTTTTAAAAAGACTTGATTGTGACTTCCTTTCAAAATTTCTTTTAGGAAACAAAGACTTGTCTAGGGCAGAATGTTTTTCCATCTTTTGTGGGAGAGACTGGAGCCACAGAGACTAGGAGAGAGAGAGAGAGAGAGAGAGAGAGAGAGAAATTGGCTTAATTCGGGCCATGAGAATGGGCACAGTTAGGCCCAGCTCAGCCCAGCTCCCTGGAATGTGGGCTCTAGAGTTAGGTGCTGGCAGTTTTAGGCTGTATACAGTACTTCAATATAGTCAATTCTCGATCAGTTGTGCTAATGGATGAATGAAAGACATGGATGATAGTAAACACAAAATGCTGAAGTTAATTTATATCTGCCCTGGAAAGCATTGCATGGACAGACACACACACCTTTGCTGTAGTTAGGCCTTCTCTCTACTCTCTCTGGTCTATACTCTCAACTGTTTGCAAGTGCTCTGGGGTGAGCTAGGCTGCAGTGTGAACAGGACCTGAAGTGCAGAGAATAATCCACCAAGCAGACACTCCTTGTTAGGGGCTAAACCTCTTGAGTATGGGAGCGGGGTCCCCCATTCACTGCTAAAGCTCCAGCACCTGGCTCAGAAAGCACTTAGTACATATTATTTTTAATGAATGAGAGAGCAAATGAGTAAGTGAGCGAATAACCTGAAAACTCACTATCTAAGAAGATTGCTGATCAATAATCACAAATGAGCCAGCATGCTTTTCTGAAATGACATTCGGTGTGCTGTGCTTGTTGGGACACAGGAATTAACATTGACATTTTACCATTTAACATTTTATCCTGTAGAATTCCTTAGAGCCTATCTCAGGCCTCTTGTGAGGGCACAGTAAACATTTTTCTGTCAATGGCCAGATAGTGAACATTCGTGACTTTTCTGTCCAGGAAGTCTCAGTTCCAATTACTCAACTCTGTCCTTGTCGCATGAAAGCAGCCACAGACAATACATGAGTGAATGCGCGGGGGTGTACTCCAATGAAATGCTATTTACAAAAATAAGTGGTGGGCTCGATTCAGGTCAGGGGCCACAGTTTGCAGACCTCCTTCTCATGGGCCCTTCTGATTACAGAGGAGGACGCTAAGGCACATAGTAGTCAAGTGACCATCCCAAGTACACATGACCAGCCAATGTTGCACTTGTGACTAGAATCTAGATTTTTTTTTAATTTATTTATGATAGTCACACACACACACAGAGAGAGAGAGAGAGAGAGAGAGAGGCAGAGACACAGGCAGAGGGAGAAGCAGGCTCCATGCACCGGGAGCCTGATGTGGGATTCGATCCCGGGTCTCCAGGATCGCGCCCTGGGCCAAAGGCAGGCGCCAAACCGCTGCGCCACCCAGGGATCCCCTAGAATCTAGATTTATCAACTCTAGACCACTTTTCTTCTTGTTAAAGGAACATCCATTTATTCATCCATTCAAGTACTTGCTGAGAGTCTGCATATACCAGGCATGGTACTAGGCTCTGGGTATGCCTGAGTGAAACAGGGGCCACATGTTCCTGTTCTTAGATAGCTTACTATAGAGAAGGGGTGGGTGTAGAAGCCATTATAACAAGTGTGAAAAGTGCCAAAACAGGGGCACCTGGGTAGCTCAGTGGGTTCAGCATCTGCCTTTGGCTCAGGTCATGATCCCGGGATCCTGGGATTGAGCCCCACATCGGGGTCCCTGTTCAGTGGGGAGCCTGCTTTTCCCTCTGCCCCTCCCCCCTGCTCATGATCTCTCTCTCTCTCATGCTCCTGCTCTCTCAAATAAATAAATAAAATCTCTAAGAAAAAAAAAAGAAATGCTACAATAGGGGAGATGTAAGTAGCATCAGAATACACAGGCCACCATCACAGGCAAGAAGTAAACTTGGATCTTGCTTGGGTCACTGAAGTTTCTTCGGGAGGGTCCAGGGAACCTTGCTAGTGTCTCTAGCATATCTCCATTACACCTGTTACCACCTCTCGCCAATTCCTCAGTTTAGTTTTCCTCTGAAGCCGTGAATTGTGACTACCTGGTGGAGCCCTACATGCACAGCTTATTTAGCTCTATGAGCATGGATCATCTCCACTGACCTTTGATCTTTCCAATTAAAAAGTTCTTTGAGTTCACAATCTGATCCATGTCTGAACGGATGGTGCCCTCCAGGCCCTTCGTCAGAGTTCGGCATTCCTCCTTCAAGGCACTTAATCCTTCTGAAACTTGATGCTGAACCAGGTTGTAGGCGTCCTCCAGGAGCTGCAGTAGAGAACAGCACATAAATAGGGGCTCTGTCATGTGCAAGCGCCTGCTGGAGTCAAGCAGAGTGGGGAGGGTTAATCACAGATTATCTGAACATAAACACAACTGCAGGCACACTCTCATTTTTCTTTCAAAGTTAGAGTCTGTTTGGATTAGTCCTCATGCAAGTGAGACTGAGCAGACTCAAAGTAGGCAGTTCTCCACCCAGGGAAGGAATAAGAAAGAAAGAAAGAAAGAAAGAAAGAAAGAAAGAAAGAAAGAAAGAAAGAAAGAAAGAAAGAAAGAGAGAGAGAGAGAGAAAGGAAGGAAGGAAGGAAGGAAGGAAGGAAGGAAGGAAGGAAGGAAGGAAGGAAGGAAGAAGGAAGGAAAAAACTGCCCTAAAAAAGGAAGAGAAAGGGATATTCATTTCGAGTACCATAGTTGTATAACAAAACCATCACTTACACCGAACCAGGCTCTCTTTCTGTCATTTTTCTTCCCCTTCATTTTAGGCAGAAGGTCCGTCTGGAGGGTTGGCAGGAGCTCCTCCATCACCAGGTTACTCAGGATCTGTGGAGAGGAAGACGGGCCCAGTCAGTTGGCCAGTGCTTGCTGAATCTGAGCATCAGGCCAACTGAAATTTTCATGACTGGCAGTCCCCATCCCCACCCCCAACATAGGATTGTCCTGGGCTCCATAAAATCTGTTAGGCTGATAACTGAACTCTGGCTCTGAGGCTACAGAAATCTCAACTAAGACAATCATGGAGGATAAACATTCTTAAGTATCTACAAGGAACAGTAATGTCTGCTGACGGTTTGTCATGGGAAAGGCCAAATTCCTCAAATTCAGACTACTCATATTCAAACTAGAAGAATCTAATGCATTTAAGATACAAGGCAAAATTTTAATTATGGATGAGGGCATCCTTAGCAACATTGTGAAGGGGGTCAGGCTTGGTTCTGGTGGCTTGAGGCCTGGTCTGTGTCCTCTGAGACCATCGTGACTCTTCAAGCTCCCTTGGGATCTATATGTCTTCACACTCTTTGTCTCTGCTGCTCCCCGAATCCCACCTCCATCCTCTTTAAAGTTTAGAGAAATAGGGAGTAACTAATACTTGGAACAACTGGATATTTGTGGGAGAAGCAGAACATGGGGAGGAGAACCAGAGTCTTCAGAATGTTTAAAAAAATTTGCTCCCAAGTCACTCCTAAAATTTTGCTTGGCTCAATTAAAATGTGTGTGTGTGTGTGTGTGTGTGTGTGTGTATTTACTCTGAGCAGTGTTCTCTATGCCAATGTATTACAACGTTCCACGTAACACCAACTTCTTTAACTACCTAACCACCTCCCCCTAAATTGGAGCAGATCCTGTCGTTCAAGACTCAGTTTTACTATGAATCTTTGCTTTGGGGGCTCGCTCACAGCTTAGTTTTCAATATCAGGCTGCAAAACAAGATTTACAAAAAAAAAAAAAAAGAGTAATTTTGGGAATGGAGGCAGGCAGAAAAGTAGAATCATTTGACATCCGTTCCAGGAATTTAAAATAATATTTGCACAAAATAATTGACCTCCTCATAAAATTCAAATTAGGCTTTGGGAATTATGGAAGATTTTTTTCTGATGTCATCGGTCAGCCTCATGCTAGTGGAAATACTCATGAGCTCACACTAGATTTTGCCTTTCACCAAGGGTTCTGTTACAGCAGGGTGGAACACTTTAGCTGAACTGTACAGGAATGCTCCCGGGGGGGGGGGTAGTGGGATGAACTATGCAGCCTCCTGTGCCTGTGGGTTCCTGGGAGAGAAGGCTGCTTAGGCCAGGGCAGGGAGGGGGGCTCCTGTCATCTGCAGTGTAGAACTTCATGGTATGATGAAGATCAGAATGGGGATAGGATTTCCACTAGTCCTGGTAATTCACTGGTGGGATGTTTTTTTTTCTTAACCATTCTCTGGGAGCAGTCAAGAGGTGAACCAGAATCTTTGAGGAACTTAAGAAAAAAAAACATGGTATGTGCAACCTCCATGAAGATTAGCAGGTCCAACAATTAGATTCAGGTGGACACTTTATAATCATGGATGCTCCTTCTGATTCTGCTTAATGGAGGAAGTCCTTAGTTGAGCAAGACATACCTGCTTGAGACTGATGGAAGCATAGCATGGGGAGAATGAGCTAGGAAAACAAGGAGACTGAGGCAGAACTGAAAATCAATGGGAAATATTCTCTTAGTTGAAAGTGGTAAATTCAGGGTCATAATAATTGCCTGTTTCATCCTTTTGCAGGTATTAGTTTGAGTCTGAACATAAGCATAAAAGGGACTTGAAAAGATGAAAATGTTACAAAGGCCAAAGGAAAAAAAAATATTCCATTTGGGTAGGCTTATGGTTTTCTTTTAGTCTTTCCCATAGAATGTTCCAAGAAATTGAGTTCCATTTTATAATTTAGGGAATTGAAAAGGAAATGTTGGGGGGTGGGAGGGGAATAGGAGTTGGTTGCCAGGGTGTGAGGCTTGGCAACTCCACAGGGCAGGCAGAGCTTTGATGTACTGAAGCCCAACTGCGTCCAGCCCAACACCAAGTAATCCTCATCCTCCAACCTTCAGCCCATCCCCCATTTTGCACAGCTCCCCCTCTCCCCACTAGGGTCTGCTCTGAGATTTCCCATCTGGGTCAGCTTCTTAAGAGTAGGGTCTAAAGCTCTGGAATATTCTAGGGAAAGTAGCTAGTCAAATAAATGAACCATAGTAATAAAAGGTTTCCTCCCCCTTCTTTTTTTTTTTTAAAGATTTTATTTATTTACTCATGATAGTTACACACAGAGAGAGAGAGAGAGAGAGAGAGAGAGAAAGGCAGAGACATAGGCAGAGGGAGAAGCAGGCTCCATGCAGGGAGCCTGATGTGGGATTCAATTCCGGGTCTCCAGGATCGCGCCCTGGGCCAAAGGCAGGCGCCAAACCGCTGCGCCACCCAGGGATCCCTTTCCTCCACCTTCTGTCCTCAGAACAAGATCTACTGAGTTTCACCATAAGGGCCCTAAAAATACACGTTTTCTTTTAAAAAATGGCGCATGCGCGTGTGTGTGCGCATGTGTAAGCATGTGTGTGTTTAACTGCTAGGATGTGTAGATTTTACAATACATTCACATATATAAGAAACCAAACATGCCATTAGGTTGGTCAAAATCAACAAATCCAGGCTCACTCCTTGAAGGCCACACTATGTGTCACCTTCCAGATGCTGACGCTGTGGGGAAGGTGTGAGATCCAGAGAGACTTTCCTTCTTCCTGAGGCTGGCCTATGGTCTCTCTGTTACTGAGTGGCCATGGGTGAAAAAAAACATTTAAAGGGATCACATTCAAGGTCATTAGACCAAAGACAACTCTGAAATGTACGGAGAAGGCCTAAAATGTGGATAGTTTTCCTGTCTTGAAGCCACCCATGTTCTGTGGGAATTATGAACTACTTTCTCAGCTCATCTGATTAATTTAAAGGCAAATTTAAATTTTGTAATAATTATAAAATAATAAATATGTATTACATAAATATGTTACTCTAATAAATAAATAATAAATATATCAGATAACTGTAAATACTTTACATTTTGCAAACTGCTTTCCTTCATGACCTCATTTGATACATTTTTCTAGACAAGTAGGAAATACATTGATGTCTTTACTAGTATACAAGTATTTTCACCTTAATAGTCTGTAGGCAAGTTATCCTAAGGTATTTGCTCTGCTTGGACGCTTGCCTGAAAAATAACCACCACCATGAGGACCTACCAAGACTTGCTATGGGAATCATTAGCATGAAGATAATAATGTAACAATGCTGAGCATCTTCTGAATACCAAGCCGTAAGACAGAAAGGGTTAGGAAAATGATGATCAAATTCTTAGCAGATATGAAAAAAGTGCAAATAAACCCAGTGCTTTAAGCAAAAGATGACATATTCTCAAACTCAGTTATGTTGTGCCATTTTTTTTAACTACTTGGTTCCTTTGTTGGGCCCCTGATTTCTTTTTCCTGTGAGCATTACAACAGATGCTGCTTTAGCTCCATGCATGAGCTTAGAGTGAAGCGTACCCTCACTGGGCCCCAGACAGGAGGGGTTTGGAACTCATTTCCTTTCACCAGCTTCTCCAAGCAGAGCCGGACATGGCTCAAGATGTGTTTCCATCCCAGATTGGCTTTGACCTCAGCCAACCTCTCTGAATGTTTTCTTACCTGGAAGGTTTGGACAGACAATCCTTGAAATGCCCTTCCAGGGCTCTCTCTTATGAGTCTGATTTCACAGAGATACTCAGATTCCAGGGGGGGCAAAACTTCTTATTGGGTCACTTGATAACTCTAGCTTTACTGATCTCTTCTCTGTTTTTGTTTTGTTTTGTTTTGCTTTGCTCTCTCACTTGTGGTATTTTTTTATACTGCAAAATTAGCACCTGCCTATCACTGCTTCGTGCTAATGCTCTTTGATGACCATATATGTACAGACCCACATACCTTTATCCATACACACTTCTAACGCTGCCTTTTTCTCTGGATGTTTCTAGATATGTCTTGCCTCACTGAGATGGCAAGAGATGAGTCATTTAGTTCTCTTGCACCTTCTAGCACTTCACACATATCAACCCAAAGCAAAAACCAGAAGGTCAACAAAAGAAACATAATACTCAACCCAAAGAAAGGATTCACTAAGTACCTGCTTTCAATGGCATCGTGAAGGAATGTGAGTGAACATGAGATTTCAAATGAAAGAAGAGATCAAGCAAGTAGCGTAGGTAAACTGGAGGAGTTAAATAAATGTTGAACTTGGTATAGTCCCATTGTTGGTGTTGCTCTTTCACTGGACCAGGAATTGGAAGACATCATTTCCTTTGCCATTAGGCCCCTTAATGTGTGACCATGAAACTGGCAGCGGCACAGGGCAGGAGCCATCCTGTCCTGCCCATCTCTGGATCACCAGCACCCAGCCTGATGCCTGGCATATAATGGTTCAGTAGGTGTTGGGTGAATAAAACCAGACAAGTGACTTAAGTGGTATATGCCTCCCTTGGTTTTCTCATTTACAAAATGGATACACCAGTAACCTCATGAGATCAGTAACACAAACACACAGAATTAGGATTTGAACATTAAAAGTATTACACACACACACACAAAAAGTATTACACAAAGGCATTTTAATACTGATATATCTATTAAATATGTTGGTTTATATGGCAGGCTAATCAGCATCAAATGCTTCAGCCCTTTTGCTTTCATTTTTCTTTTTGGCATAAGTACAGTTAGTCCTTAATCCTCTCAGATTGATAAATGGATGTGCTTCCCCTAAATATCAGAAACCAAGAATTGGCTAAACTGCTGGAATAAGTCTCAGGCTAAGAAATAAATGAATTTAGAATCCTTCAAAGAGCGAGGCGGGGGGGGGGGGGGGGATGGAGAAGCTTCTGAGTCATATGGTTTAACAATAAAGAACAGCCCCATTATCATGAGCAAGTGTTTTCAGCTTTAGATGTTTAATGACCATACAAAGGCAATGCCCCATCTGGTCTCTTCCAAATATTGTCTCCTAATAACAAATTCCACTGGTCCCCAAAAGAGGCACTCAGGGAGATGAGGGGAAATTAAAGAATAGCATTGTTGGATCCTGTGTGCCTCTAATTAAATAATGCCATTCCCAGCCTCTTCTTCCTGGCTGCATCAGCCATATGATTGGTGTTCTCATGGACACGGTTTCCTTGGAGATTTGTAACAATGTCCCTGGTACCAAGCCAATGGAGGTGCTCAGCCCATCATGATTAGCATTTAATCAAGGTCATGGGAAATTATATCAGGCCACAGAGGATAGAAAACTAGAAGAGGTAAATAAAACACATAGAAAACTGTCTAATGGGGGCACCTGGGTGGCTTAGTGGTTGAGCGTCTGCCTTTGGCTCAGGGCATGATCCCGGGGTTCTGGGATCCAGTCCCGCATCAGGATCCCCACAGGGAGCTTGCTTCTCCCTCTGCCTGTGTCTCTGCCTCTCTCTCAGTGTCTCTCATGATAAATAAATAGAATCTTAAAAATAAATAAATAAAACTGTCTAATGCTTTTAAGATGTGTTTCCTTGACTACGCTTACAAATCAGTCAATAAATAAAGATAAGTAGATGCCAAATAGTTATCCAACAACATCTCATTTAATGCTCAGAACCCTGCAAGGTAAACATTATCATCAGTCTCTTTCTCAGAGGACTACCTGAGACTAAAAGAGGTAAATAACTTGGCAAGATTTAGCCCAAGTCATGAACCTAAGCTCCCACTGCACACTTTGCACTATGTCACTCTGCTCATGTTTGCTTATGGTCTGGAAGCATTTGAAGGAATAATGCTTTGTATAGAAGGCAGTAGAAGTGGGACGCATGGGGGGCTCAGCGGTTGGGCATCTGCCTTTGGCTTAGGGCATGATCCTGGAGTCCTGGGATCAAGTCCCACATTGGGCTCCCTGCGTGGAGCCTGCTTCTCCCTCTATCTATGTCTCTGCCTCTCTCTGTGTGTGTGTCTCTCATGAATAAATAAATAAAATCTTTAAAAAAAAAAAAGAAAAGAAAGCAGTAGAAGCAAGTTTTTTCCATTGTAGTTGAAAGTGTTTCATGCTGCCTTGTTTAGTGCCCAATCTGGAGGTGTTTGGAGAGAGTACCTAATAGCTTGTGGACCAAACGCTTCTAGACGATGAGCGAAACAGCCTTTGGAACCACATCTTCCATTCTTGCAACTTTTTTCTTTGATTTTTTTTTTTATTATGACTCTGACCTCCTACACTTAGAGAAGAGGGCCCAAAACTCTGAGCCCATGTTACCTGGACTTCATCCCCAATGATCATTTCCCAGGAGCCATAGTGTCCCTTCTCCTGCCGGAAGAACTGCACAGCTTCTAAAAAGGCTTGGGCTTCGAACGTTGTCTGCTTCGTGTAATCTGAGAGAAAGAGACAAGGGTATTTAGCAGAGAATACTTTTTACCTTTTACCATGGTTCTTCGAGAGTAATGATTCGGAGACCTAACATTGTCTGAATATTACAAAGGAGAGAATTATGAGACGCAGAAAAATTAAGCAGGTGCTGAATTCACAGTTCATGTGTGGATGTGTATCACACTACTTGCTCCCCATAGCAGCTGATTAATTCTATCAGTTACTGGGCACACCACCTGGGACAAGAAGCAGATCAGTCCCCCTTTATCTCCCTAGTAAATTCTTCCCCTGGACACTTAGGCTCCTAGTGGCTTTATGCCTCCAACCGTAGCGCCTCACTACTGCAGGCCATTCCTTAATAGGGCTTCGTGTATTCACAGAATACCCTTCCAGTTTCCTGAACAAAACTCTAATTTCTCTGTCACTTGATGTCGACTTTCTGACAAAAGGACGTCAATATTATATGCTGATTTATGCAAATAAGGGATGACAATTCCTAACAACTATACAGCAAGATACTGTTCTTCTAAGCATGTTATATATTTCACTGAAACTTAACAAAACCCCTCAGGCTGAGTGTTATTATCATCTTGATTATATAGATGCTCCAAAAGCCCAGAAAGATTAATTAATTGCCTAAGGTCATACAGCTGGTATGTGTAGATTCAGGCAGTCTGATTCTAGTCAGACTACACTACACTATACCAGCACTACACTACCTCACATACTAGTTTTTTTTTTCACATACTAGTTTTATGGGTTTGCCCAACATTAGATTTTATTTTTTTATTATTTGATTTGATTTGATCTTACTTAAATTGAATTAATTAACATATAGTGTATTATTAGTTTCAGAGGTAGAGGTCAGGGTTCATCAGTTGTATATAACACTCAGTGCTCACGACTTCACATGCCCTCCTTAATGCCCAATATCCAATTAGCCCATCCCCCCACTCCCTCCCCTCCAGAGACCCTCAATTTGTTTCCTAGAGTTAAGAGTCTCTTATGGTTTGTCTCCTTCTCTGATTTCATCTTATATTATTTTTCCTTCCCTTCCCCTATGATCCTCTCTTTTGTTTCTTAATTTCCACATATGAGTGAAATCATATTCTAATTGTCTTTCTCTGATTGACTTATTTCACTTAGCATAATATCCTCTAGTTCCATCCATGTCCTTGCAAATGGTAACATTTCCTTTTCTTATGGCTGAGTAATATTCCATTATACACACACACACACACACACACACACATATCCTATTATCTTCTTTATCCATTCATCTGTTGATGGACATCTGGGCTCTTTCCATAGCCAAACATATTAGATTTTAAGAGGTGTTACATCTGAGAGAAAATATTTAATGGCAGGATTTTAAGTATGGCTGAAGGAAGAAGGTCTCAATAGCCTTCCCAGAATTCCACAAATCACACCGCGCATACAAATGTCTTCATTTTTATATGGACTGAATATTTGTGTTTCCCAGAATTCATGTTGAAACCCTAATCCCCAGTATGATAATATTGGGAGATAGAGCTTTGATCTATCAGGTCAGGAAGGAATGATGGGATTAACTGCCCTTATCATGATGGGATTAGTGCCCTAATAAGAAGCTAGTTTCTCTTCCTCTTCCATCCCTCTCCCCAGATACTGCATCTACCAGTGCTTGGGTCTTGAACTTCCAAAACTATGGCATTTTTGTTATGGCAGCCCAAACTAACTGAGGCAATTTTCTTTTTCTTTCTTTCTTTTCTTTTTTTTTTTTTGATTTTATTTATTCATGAGAGATACAGAGAGAGGCATAGGCAGAGGGAGAAGCAGGCTCCTCTGGGGATCCTGATGCAGGACTCATCCTGGAACCCCAGGATCATGCCCTGAGCCAAAGGCAGAAGCTCAACCACTGAGTCACCCAGGCATCCCATGACCAAGGCGATTTTTAGTGCACAAAGCTAGCTCTTGGAGGATAAAATGATACAGAATTATAAAAATCTTCTCAGGGAAATGAAGCTTAGAAATAATCTAATCTAACAATAAAGAAATCAAATCTTAGGGGAAATAAGGCTAAATGAAGTCACCGAAAGCACCAAATCTCCTGCCTCCTGCTTCTCCTCCTGTAGGACACAAAGTTCTCTTGCTAATAGCATATGATCTGCACTTACAGGGCAAATTAAATTGGCCAGCTGATTCACTGGGAGCCTTCAGTGCTTCAGACAATGGGATGACTGTCAAGGAATGAATGGTTGAAATAGGGTACTGGGCAGAACTGAAAAAGGATCCATCTGCTCCAGAAGGTGACAATTAATTAATAGGCTGTAGATGACTCTTTTAAGATTGGTTTACGAGGTCAAAAGCCTCAGGAACTGGGAAAAGGGAAAATATAGTTCAAGGCACAGCCTCTATAAGAGTTCATGCAACATTCTTCATGGTAAGGATACCATAAAACCTGAATCTCCACCTTCAAAAGGGTGGAACAGTAACTGACATTTCTGATATCGACAGAGAGATCTGCTCAAGATCTAAATCAGAAAGATCATGTCTGAGAATCAAGTTTTTAAGTGGAAATATTTGCTTCCTTGTTATTTTATTCTGGTTTGCCCAGTGAGTTAGTGTTTAATCTTAGAGGTTTGGAAAACACAAATTAGAGTCCTGGTATGAAGTTGACAAGAGGGGGGCTGTGATAGGGGGCTCAGGACACTGGGAGGGACTTTACCAACAGAGATGGAAACTGTAATTATACACTGAGATTCAAGATTGACTCATGTGCTCTTATTTTTAACAGCTGTTTTCATTTCCAAGCTAAGGAAACAAAAAGATGGAAGAAAATGTGGTACTTGGATGGAGTGAGTACTGCCAGACCCGCGAGCCTGGGAATAAGGTTTTAAATTCTTCATGTCCTTACAAAAAGCAGAAATTTACTTATTGCTTCCCCCACTAACCTCAGCAACTGGAGAAGGTATTTGAAATCCTACCCATACGTTCTATAACTGCCTCAAAGCTAATGGTGGCAATCCCCGTAGGGTTGTGTTCCAAAAGTCTTTGAAAAAAAAAAATAACAGAAGAAATGGGATTTGGAGACAATGATGTAGGAGTCAGGGAGAAGTCCAAGAGGAGAAAAGAAGTGCTGGAATGTAGTAGTGGTGATTGAGGCACCTTAATGTAGGCAGAGAAGAAAAGGGTTAGTAATCAGATGAACCATACAGGAAATTATAGTGATTGAACATCAGCAATAAAGCCTAAAAGAATGAGGGCAGGGATCTAAATTCTGGGCTCTCTACCATTATCATGGATTTAAACTGGATTTTAACTATTCCTTTTCCATAGAGGAAAAAAAGGATCTCATCTACTGATTCATCATCAGACTTTCAGGTTATAAACTGATTAAGTAAATTAACTTATCCACAACTTTTAGAACAGTGTCTGCCTTGTAGAATAGTATCCATTTTATGGATATTAGTTTTCATGATTGTAAGCCAAGCTCAACAGCAATTGCCAGATCATTAAGGAAATAAAGAACAAAGGTCTGCTTTGTAAAAGATAGAACTCTTGCAATGGTAATATGACCTTCGTTTCTTCTGAGTTGTTTACAGAGGCATTGCTGAACTCAGCCAGAATGTACAGGTGTTTGAGAGAAACCGGATTATCAGTTATTTGATCAACTTCCTGCCATAGATCTCAGGAGAACAAATTCCAGGATCACAATCCCCCACTCTCCTGCCAACAAGCAGCTGAGAGTTTAGTCCAGTGGTCCTCAGAATCAACCATGGCTCTTGGTTGTTAAGCCTTCTGCCGACTTAGAAAAATGGCAGGTATCAGCTCCCCCTGTGCATTTCCAACATGCCATGACTATGAGGATACTCAAGGAGACAGATGTGCTGGAGAGAACTTAGACGTCATTAAATCCAGATCCCTCATTTTGTGGATAAGGAAACTGAAAAAAAAAAAAAATGGTTAATTTCTTAGCTGAAGGTCACACAGCTGGTCAGAATCATAGCCAAGAGTTGAAAAAGGAGCTCTGGCATGTCAGAAGTGGCCTTGGCATTCATGCTTACTTAAATCACAGACTATGGTCGCTGAAAGTGGTCTTAAAGGTCACCTACCCAGAGCTCTCATTCCATGCTGGAAGCCTTCAGAATCCCAGACACTCATCTGGTCTTAGCTTGAATATTTCCAGTGACAGAAAGCTCACAATTTATGAAATAGTCACGGAACTGCTCTAATTATTTGAAAAATTTTCCCTTTATTGAGCCAAAATCTGTTTCCATGAACTCTCATTAATCTCATTTCTGCTTTTCAGAGCAAAATAGACAAGTTTACTCCTTTTCTAAATGGTAACTCTAAAAAACTAGCTGAATATCTTTATTTTCCTTCAACCATTCTTTAAACAATATAGCTTTGGGATTTTTTAAATTTAGCCCACTCTTTTCCTTCCTTCCCTTAGTAATCAATTCCATTTAATCAACATCTTTCTTAAATGTGGCCCCTACACTGAATATAACCCACTGAGTATTTTCCAACTTGTGCAAATTATGTAAAGTAAAAAGATTACTTTCTTTTTCTGGTCCCCAACTTCTTCTTCTTCTTCTTTTTTTTAATACAAACACATCGCACCAGAGACTCCTACCTTTCTTATAGTCAAATAAAATTCCTACAACTTTTTCATAAAAAACCCTGTCAATTTAATCCTTTCATAACCTGTACTTCTGCTTTTGATTTTGAAGTACATGTTTTAATGCTACCCCTAATAAATTATAAGTTACTGTGGTCAACTTAGTGCCCCAGATCCTTCCCAAATCATTTAAAATTATAATTCCGCTTCCAAACTCCCTTTTACCTCTATATCATTAAAAAGTTTGGTGGGCTTGCCTTCTTCTGTGTTTTTCTCCAGGTCACTGATAAAAATATCCATTGGATCAGGGGCAAGGACAGATCCCTGGGAAATTCTAAACATTTTAGAAGACATGTGGGACACACATCTTGGCCATTCATTCAACAATCACATCCACAGGAC